TAAAACATAAATAGTCCTCACTTTAGATTCACAAAACTGGATAAAGTTGAGTTAATAAAGCATTTATTAGCATACAAATAAACTATTAGTATATGCCTGAATAATAAGAATTAGAAATGTTAATTTGAATAGTTTATAAATCATTTAATAACTCATTCTGAATGATCTTAAAAAACTAACTATGCTTAAATAACTGGTTTGTGTATAATTCAATACTTAATTTAGTAATGAAAGTACAATTATTAAGGACATTATAAATGTGGTTATAAGTCAAGAATACAGCATTTTTAGCAGCAGTAATAAACTGCTTACTAACGTTTATTAATGTAAAGTTAATGCTTGTAAGAGTTGAAATATTGCAAATATTTTGATATCTTGGACAATTCAAAACATAAGCTGAAAACAGGGCCAACGGACTTCACAACCCAGCAGGTGGGAATGCGGGAAAAACCAGTTCCTGCTTCATTTGCATCTGAGTCTGCTGAACCTCAGTTTCATCCACCCAATCTCACACATATGGTCATTTCAATGTTTGAATGTTCTAGATTAACCAAACTGGCTTTAACTATCATGTTTGATATCATTTGAAATGTCTCAGTGCGACTGGTACAATGGTCTCATTCTCTCAGAAACAGACATAATCAAAACAATAAATATATAACTTCAGGCATCTTTTGAACCACTGTGAAGGGTGTGACTTTTCCACTAAGTGTGAATGCCTTTTGTTATTCACACCCCCTTCCTTGAGGGAATTCTTGGATTATTTAAGGTAAGGTTTGAGAAAGGCTCAGGGTGATTCTGCCTAACCAGGGGCCTGTTTCAGTAAGGAGGTTCAAAGAACTCAGAGTTTAAACTTGAACTCTGAGTTGATTTACCGAGAGATTAAAAACTCAGAGTTTTCGGTTTCAGAACAGCTGATCTGAGTTGGGTCAATCAACTTCGAGTAGACCAACTCAGAGTTAAGCGCGCGCACCGTGACTATAAAAAGGCATTATCAATGGAGCGCAGACATTACGAGTGACTATGGCAATATCTTATAAAAGAGATCACCATTTCTTTCTCCAGCTGAACTTGATGTTCTCATGCAAAGTTATAGCAAATATGAGTGTATATATTTGAAAAGAAGCAGCCATCAACCAGTTAGCGTGGGAAAACAGCTGCTCAAGATAATGCCTAATTTAACTTTTTAAGTATTTAAATATTTAAGTATAATAAAATAAGTAATGTAATTTGTGACGTTTATATATTTTTTCTAAACTTTCTTTTATACATTTATTAGTTTTAAATGATTTAACAGTGCACTTGTGTGTCTGCCTTTTTTTATTGATCAAGTGATAGAGGTTAATATAACATTTAGAAGGTAAGCAGTACTAAAAATAATTTTTAGAAAGAATAATAATCCCATTAATCTAGTTACAGTGCATATCGAAGGTGAATTCAATTTAATTATTTATTAAAAAAGCATAAGCCATTCTAGTACAGTTCTTCTGTGTGTGACAAAAATGTAGGCAATAGCTATTTTCCATCCAAATATATTATATAAATGTATGTGCAAAACTGGAATATTGCATAAAAGATGCGAATAAAATTCCATCCAACGAGTCAAAGAGAAAAAAATTGTCACTTCCTGATTTAACTGGCTCGAAATATCAACAGTAAAAACAGAATTTACTGTGGTAGAAGAAGAAGCTGCGTCAATTAATTCTTTATTTAGCCTAATTAATGTACTTGCGCCTCGATGTCAGAAGACAATGCTGAAACACAATGAACACATGGGGGCGTCTGAAGCCATGAGACGCGGAGACTCTTGACACGCATCAGACGTTCGGAGGTAATTAATAATATACACTAATACTGAAACAGTTAAGGCATTTTAGAATGACTAAAACAATATTTAAGACGTGTTACAGTGTGCCCAGCCTGCTGGTTTGTTCATTTACACACATTTTCATTATCATATGATCATGATCTTTTTTTTTTATGTACATACTGTAATTTGTTCAGTAAAAATGTTTCCATCGTAGTTTATGCGCACATTTTCTATCGAATAAAAGTTTATCCTACTCAGTTATGTGCGTTTTTTATGCATATTTTAAAAAGTTATGTGCATCATGACGTTTCTATAAATCGTTTTTATGCACGTATCCAAAATGAGCATTAAAATAGGTGGGTGGAAACGTAAGGCTAAGGCGAGAAATACCGCTTCATCTTTAAAAAAAGGGGAAGAGACAGACAGAAACTGAGTTTAGAGAATAAAACCTGCTTCTGACCAGGTTAGATTCACAGAGTAAGTTACCACAGTAACTGACTCTGAGTTAAAGTTAACTCTCTTTCAGAAACAGGCTTGACTTACCCTGATTTCTCGAGTTTAACAAACCTGCCATTTTGAAACGGAAAACCCAGAGTTTCTCTCATTTCAGGGTTAAAATACTCTGAGTTTTCAGTTAACCTTCTTTCTGAAACAGGCCCCAGATCAGCCCATATCATGGCTTGCTTCATGTTATGTATATTTCAAAGTCAGGAATGCATCTTTTTCATCTTGGATTTGTCTTTGATAATTTGATGTTTTGTATTGATCGTTTATGAATTGACTGATTGAATTGGCATAATACATTTACCTGACTAATAAATTATGTTTTGAATTATTCAAACCTCGTGTTATTATCACTGATAAATGTTGTTGTCCATAGCACTACAAGCCACTGTACAGGTTAGTAACGGACTAAAACATGTTAGACGGAGCAGCGTGGCACGCTATATAATGTTATTAGAGATCCGACTAACAAATTGGCATTATTTCAAGTATACTTGGACTGTAAAAGGCCAACTATTTAGAACAACAAAATATTGTTGAAACTACTTTAAATGTGGATATTTAGGCCTTCATCTACAAACTTATAATCCTGTGCGATTATTATTAAAATACTTTGTCTTGATTAAGTAGATAACAGATCTATGGGGACCACATAAAAATCTCCTATATTGATTAAGTAGGGTTTTGCCTTTTTAGGAGAGTGGTTAATCGCCTCTGTTTAATGACCAAGACTGACAAGCTTGTATTAAGAGATTTTATACCCGGCCGGTGCAAGACTCGGGATGCTATAGGAATCTGTGTAAATGAGAATAAGGTATAATAACAAATCAAAAGAATATTCAATCATAATCTAAATTAATGTGAACGGAAACAAAATAACCTTCTCAATGTTTTATAATTGGAGTCAGATAAAAAGAGGATAAATATATTAATATTCTAAACCACCTCATACTAAAATTGGAGTCAGATATGAGCTAAGTTTAATATAAATCAACATTGTGCACTGGAAAGACCGAACATGCAGTGAACCTTCATCCACCATTGGATACCGCCATTGGACCAACTGGCTGGACCCTACAATGCTTATTATAATGAATTAATGCTTAATAAATGGTTCATAGTGTGTAGTTATTATAAAGTGTTACCCATCTACTGCAATACAACTAAAGTACTACTACAGTAAAAAATGCCAAATCGCTATTGCAATACAACTGCAGTACAACTACTACTTTTCCTGCTTGGTGGACAATGGTTTCCAAATGAGGTTTAAGCACTTCAGTTGTATTGCTGAAGTACTACCACAATATAGTTTTACACTTTTAAGAAGTATAACAAAATACAGAAATACATCTACAATGTTACAATACATAATAAACCTAAAGTGCACTTTAAATACTTATGTACCTAAGTGCAACAAATTATATAACATATCACTATATTGCCCCTCTCAGTTTATTTAATGTTACTTCAGTTACACTGCAGATTTTACTTCTATTGAACTTTAATATATTGTTGTTGAGCTGTGCTTATACCTTATTATACTGCTACTTTGCAGTTGCATTGAACTTTGCAAAGTTAACATAGGCTACTACTGTTGTACTGTTAATTTTAGTGCAGTTATTTTTTTTTTGCTACTCGTTTTTGCAAATAAACTCTTAAAATTCTAATAAAAAATTACTTAAATACAAAAAACATCTCTGAAAAAAGGACAAATATTCTTGAAGATGTTGAACAAACCCATTGGAACAGTGCAGTGCAGTACAGTTCTTACAACACCATTGGCATATTAGACTGTAGTGCTGACTTGTCTCCAACAGAGAAAGTGTGGTGCGTTTTGAAGCCATAAAGCAACAACACCCCAAACTGGAGCTCACATTAAGACTTGTTTGCAAGAAGACTAGGACAAAATTACATCTGAAACATTTCATCACTCATTTTCTTCAGCCCCTAAACTTCTTTTAAGTGTTGTAAAAAGGAATGGCAGCATTTCATAATGATAAATGTTTTACTGTTCCAACTTTTTCTAATATGTGTTGCAGGAACCACAATTGAAATACATGTTTATTGCTGGATTTGCTTTCCATTTGCTTTTCAGTTGCATATTTCTAAATGTTTCATGGTTCAGCCATATTTGTTAGGCAACCCATCAAGTTTATTTTAGTCCAGGTCTCGGCAGTCTAGGTTTTATTAATCTGTATATAATCTGTGGTTAAGAAAGTAATTTTTAAAGCCATGATTCAGCAGTCTAGATTAAGGCCTACTCCTGATTTAAATTAAACTTCAGAAAAATCGTCCCTTCAGATTAAAAGGCACCCAGTGTTTATTAAGACTGTATAGGGCACAAGTAAATGTAGGATGAGGCAAGTTTTTTCTAATAAGCTTTTATAGTAAATATCTGGGAATGTTATGGTCACCAGCGATCTGGCTTTTTCAGTGGCAAACACTGACAGATTACAATGACATATCCCATCATGCACCACCTACACAGTAGTCCCAGATCATAGGTGCTCATAGTGACCTGTGTTCAATTTGTGGCTCTAGGTCCTTTGCTGATCATTCCCCTTTTTCTGCTTCCTACAATTCTCTGACAGTATTCTCCACTGTTCTATACATTACAAATATTCTATCCATTTTGGAGGATAGAAAAACTCAAAAATAATTCTATAAAAAAACTGTTGGAACTTACATTCGTTCTCAAACAGGTGGAACTGCATGCCCAGCAGTCCCATGGTCTTGCAGAAGGTGTATGCAGCTGAACTCTTTTTTTTTGGACACAATTTCAAAATCTGTAAAGAAAAAAACACAGATATGATAATTGAGTTTATTGGGTGCATTTACACTGAGAATTGTAATCCAGTTAAAAATCAGTCCAAAGGAAAATCTAATTATTAGCCCTCTTATATAATTCTTATAGATTTCATTTCTTCTGGAGAAAGTCTTATTTGTTTGCTTTCAGTTGGAATAAAATCAGTTGTTAATTTTTTAGCATTTTTTTTTCTGATTGTCTACAGAACAAACCACTGTGATTTGCAAAATTTTACCAAACTAGCCTAGTAAACCTAATTATCCTAGTTAAGCCTTTTAATTGCACTTTACGCTGAATAGTATCTAGAAAAAAATATCCAGTAAATTTTATGCACTGTCAAATTAAACAGTAATGTGTGTGTGTGTGTGTGTGTGTATAGTTGAAGTCAGACTGACCTGAATTATTAGCTCCACTGTTTATGTTTTCCGCAATGTCTGTTTGAAAGAGCGAAGATTTTTTCAGCGCATTTCTAAACATAATAGTTCTACTAATGCTGAGTTCAGACTGCATGATTTTCAAAGTAGTATCACAGATGTTTTCACACTGTACGACTATCAGGGCTAGCGTTTTGTCGCTGCTTTGTTAACACTGCAAGATGAATTGCCGACAGGGCTTTCACATTGCATGGCTTTACAATAGGAAGAATCACCGACAACTTTGTCCAAACTACAACCAAAAACACTTAGTATATCTTTTGTGATTAACTACATGAGAAAGAAGCCTTTAATATGTTAGAAAATGTTCATATTTGCTCACCTGTGTTTGAAGGGAATTAGCAATTTCTCCTCAACTTTCTTTTTTAACTGTCTGTATGAAACGTCAAACAGACTTGGGTGCTTCTGTCAAACCTCCTCTAGTTTTTCCTCTATTTCTTGGGTCCAAAAAAACTAAAAAAAGGAGCGCTTTTAACTTCTCCCCCAACCTCCCGCTGGCCAGCAGGTACACACACACACAAGTAAATGCTGCTCTTTCATTGGCTGTAGGTGATCACTGATGTTATTTTCAGTCAAAACTCATTTCACACAGCATGATTTAAATCGCCGACAGCTCCAGATATTTAGCACGCCAAATATCTCACAGGCACCGGCGACTCATCTGCGATTCTCTCAGATCATGTCTTTGATAGTTCATACTGTGTGATTGTCACTCACGTGCACAAGCACCGATTTGCCTGTGATTTTAGGCATTTGTCGGCGATTACTCAAAACCTGTCGGCGAGTCAAAATTGGGCTTAAATCATGCAGTCTGAACTAGGCATAACTCATCTCTAATAACTGATTTATTTTATCATTGCCATGATGACAGTAAATAATATTTTACTAGATATTTTTCAAGACACTTCTATACAGCTTAAAGTGACATTTAAAGGCTTAACTTAATTAGGTAGGTTAGGGTAATTGGGCAAGTTTTTGTGTAACGATGGTTTGTTCTGTAGACTATCGAAAATATATATAGCGCAAAGGGGCTAGTAATTTTGTCCTTAAAATGTTTTTTTTGTTTTTATTAAAAGCTGCTATTCTGCTATATTCTTGCCAAAATAAGACAAAAAAGGCTTTCTTCAGAAGAAAATATATGATCAGACATACTGTGAAAATGTCCTTGCTCTGCTAAACATCATTTAAAATAGAAATATTTTAAATATTTTATTAAAAAAAAAATATATAAAAAAAATTCAAAGGGAGGCTAATAATTCTGACTTAAACTCTCTCTCTCTCTCTCTCTCTCTCTCTCTCTCTCTCTCTCTCTCTCTCTCTATATATATATATATATATATATATATATATATATATATATATAAAATATATATAAAATATATATATATAGATATATTATATATATATATATAAAGTTAGTTCTTTAAATGCCACTTAGTTTAACTTCTTTAAAGAGAGGGTGCTCGCTGCAGAGCCATTTGAGCAGAGCTGAGCTCCAGCGAGGGGGAGCATGAGCTCTCGCTCCTCCTCCTGTAAGCTGTTTTAATGCGTACACCAACACCACCCCTTACCCTACCCCCAGTGACATCACTCGTAGAAGAAGTGCAAAAAAGGTGGAGCTCAAGCTCCCCCTCGCTGGAGCTTAGCTCGCCCAAATGGCTGAAGCGAGCACCACTTGGTCTTTAAATGCCACTTAAAGCTGTATTGAAGTATCTTGAAAAATATCTAGTAAAATATTATATACTGTCATCATGGCAAAGATAAAATATATTTTTTTATAAATTAGTTGTTAACACTATTAGGTTTAGAAATTGTTGAAAAATATCTTCTCTCCGATAAACAGAAATTGGGGAAAAAATAAGCAGGGGGGCTAATAATTATGACTCCAACTGTATATATTAGCCCCCATTGAGTTTTTTTTTTCTTTTCTAATGCTGTGGTTAGCTGACACATTCTTAGGTGCGAAGTTTTCAGATAACTGCACAGCTAAAGTATGTCTTTACTCTGTAAAATTACACCCGAGGTACAATGGCTGCATCATATTTCTGGGTTTGCATTTTGATACCGTGTCATCTGTTTTTCCTCATTTACACTATCAATATTGAATAAAGGACAGGAAATAACAAAAGTCTAAAATAATAAATAACAAAAAATCTATAAAATTAAATGTGCCTACCACAAGTAGGTCATTGAAAAGGAAAACCTCTCTCTGGTGAGCCGCTTGCTTCTGGGCTTTGTTGATGTCAGTCACTTCAAACAGCCGACTACAGCACACCAGTCTTCTGTGAGGCACTGACAAAACCTGAGGGTCAACACATACATATAGTGAGAAGACTTTGATGACATATAATGAAAGTGACTTTGAACGTAGCATGGTCATTGGTGCCAGATGGGCTGGTCTGAGTATTTCAGAAACTGCTGATCTACTGGGAATTTCACAAACAACCATCGCTATGGTTTACAGAGAATGGTTAGAAAAATAGAAAATATCCAGTGAGCAGCAGTTCTGTGGGTGCAAATGCCTTGTAAACGTCAGAGGTCTGCCTTGAGGCAGATGGGCTACACAGCAGAAGACCACAACGGGTGCCACACCTGTCTGCTAAGAACAAGAAACTGAGGCTGCAATTTGCACAGGTTCACCAAAACTGAACAATAAAAGATTGGAAAAACGTTGCTGGTCTGAGGAGTCTCAATTTCTTTTCATTTTTGTGTTTGTGATCAATGTTTTATTGTCTTTAGATTATCAAAATAACAAACATTCAAACAAACAAACAAACAAACAGGAAAGTGGGGCAACATCAACATTGTTTTTAATCTTAAAGAAGAGGGGAAAAACACAACTTTAAATGGGCTTTCCTTTATATAGTCTAACATGTTGGAAGAAAAAGGTTTTGCCTTATTAGGGTTTGCCTTATTAATTTGTGCTATTGTATCTTCACAAGTCACTATTTTAATGAGGCTATGAATCCAAAATGTAAAACCATCAAATAACATTCTTTTCTTTAGTGTGCTTATACAAGAATTAAAATTATGACTGAGAAGACATAAACCAGAATTAGACACATATTCAAATTGTGGTTAAAAAAAAAAAAAAAAAAAAAAACAACTGAATGTACTTGAGACCACAGTTCGACAACAATTGGACATTCCAAAACATATGGAGAAAAGTACCTGAAGATATGACAACTGTAGTTTGACTGCCATTTCATTTTAAACTGCATATTAGGAGTTATGTTTGATCTTTGTATGACTTTGAAATCTCTAAGACAATGAGCTATGTTTTTAGAAGTTAAAGAGCCCATATTATGGGTTTTTGAAAATGAATAAGTGAAGTGAAATATCCAGCTAAGGCTTAAATCTGTAAGTGTACAGTGTTTAAAACTGTTCATCTATAAAAGAGTTGACTCATAGTGCTTCAAACGAGTCGTCTTGATAACGAGTCATTAGGTGTTTCGCAATGACGTATCCACGAAACACAAGTAGTTGCGCTTACAAACCCAGGAGATTTGAAACCTGCGGCCCCCCCCCACTAACACAGAAAAAAAGCCACACACACACACACATACACACGCACAGACACACATACACACACGCGCCGATCTAATGTGAAGTCAATCTGTGCAGATGGATATTATTGAGCCTCTACTAGGGGTGTAACGATATTAAAACCGAACCGAAATATCGCGATACACCAACCACGATACGTATCGCGAAACTCTCGTGGTGTACCGCGGTACTCTCACGCCCCCTGCTGCCCATTGTTAAGGTTGACGTCACTTGTCTCTAACTAATTGAACCAATTTAAATGTATCTTTATTCTAATATTTGATTAAATTGTTTTAGTATCGATGAGAATTTGCTCTAATTATTATATTCTAAAGTTAGTATTTTAGTGCATGTTATGTCATGTGACTTGAGTAAGCATCACACTCCTTACTACCGGACGCAGGATGGCTGCTTCACATAGTACTGAGATTGCAGATCCCCCAGACACATTTAAGTCATCTGTGTGGAAAAATTTTGGTTTTCCAGTTGAGTACAGGAATAGAATTTGTTTTGTAGACAAAGCGCACGCCTGTCTGTCTCAACTGTTTCACGAAACTTACTTGTAAGGAAAAACATTTAAAAAGTGGGGTAATTTCACAATGTGAGGGTGTAAGCAACAGAACTGCCAACAAAAGTGATTTAATGTACAAAAGTAAAACCAGAATAATGCCCAAATATACAAAAAAAGAGAAATATTTACACTAATAAAAATAATATAATAAAGTAACAAATTCAAACAAAAGTATCAAACAAAAATTTGTTAAACTCGAGCAAGGGGGTGATAGTGAAGACAAACAAAAGAAATAAATATAATATAAATATAAATATAAATATAAATATAAATATAATAAAACAACTCATGAATAACCCCTTATCTCGCTAATACTTATGAAAAGAAAAAAAGGTCTTTAGCGCCGTGTGCCGCATTCTTCCCTATACTGAATAAAATAAACAAAGATGACCTTCACCTCTTACCTGATGTCTTTAACAATACATTTTCTACGTGTTTGCAAAATGGAAATCGTATGACATTTTCCCTATCCACCTTACACTAAGACTGAACTTAAGGAGATGCAGCTATATTGTCGGGAAGGAGCGGAGCTAAAAAATAATATACAAATCAATTGAAATAAAAATGTACAAACCTCACAAAATTTCTTAAAGTGGGCAAAAGTAATGCAAAATAATTTTACCCAAACGAAAGTTAAGCAAAAACAACGAAAATCATAATCATGTCAGAAAAATACACGAAAAACGAGATCAAAGGAAAAAGCGCTCTCTCTCCCGCTCTTCCTGACATGCTTTTTGCATTCCCGCGCTGTTTCGCCAAATGATGATAGATCGCTCTCCTGACCAATCAGCTGTCAAAAAGGCGGACCTACAGAAATGACAGGCATCAGCTGTCGTGAAGGCGCACCTTCAGTAAATAAATGACCGGCATAGAGGGAGCGGGAGAGAGAGAGAGAGAGATCGGGAGGCAAACATATAGCCGGCTACAACCCTAACATTAGTTTCAGACAGAACCGCAATGTATTTTACTAGTGAATATGTCATGAAAAAACACTTTACAAACACAGTATATGTATATTTTTCATTAATTTAAACGGAAACCTATCTAATCTAAATGAAACCATATAATTAAAAATGAGCGTCTGTGTCTGCACAGAGATCAAGCCTCTCATCGGAGAATGTGGATATTATGGTGTTTTTGAAGAAGATCTTTCACTATTCTACACTGCAGTTATTTATTTAATTTTAGTTTACTTAGTTAAGATGGCTGCACTAAAGAGAATAGTTTTTTTTTCTGACTAGTCTATATTGGAGGTATTTATTTAATTCTAGTTGTTTACTCGGGTATCCTGACTGTACTAAAAATGCGATGACAAAGTTAATAAAGAAAAAGGTAAGATGTTCTTGTGGCTCCAAAACCCTGAACCGAACCGAACCGTGCCTTTTGTGTATCTTTACACGCCTAGTCTCTACCCAAAAGATGAAACCTGAGCATTATAGCCCAGCCTTGAGCAGTTTGAGTCACCGGTCGTTAAAGGTGTCTATATATATGCCTGAAGATATATCAGGCTATTAGCTCTGATGTGAACATCGTGCGGCAGGGCCGTGAGAGTTAGGACGGGATGGGTCAATCCGCCGTTCCGATTCAAGTTCAATGTGCAAATGCTGTTGGCAGTTGTCATGTGTGAGAGTTTAGCATTTGGACAGTAGTGTGTATGCTTGTTAGTTGAACACAGGTCTGGGGGTGTGTTCAGGCGGAGTGTCGCACCGTGCGAGGCTGATGGCTGCTGGGTTGTCTGCTTACAGTGCAAGTACAGTGTCCTTCACAGTCCGGTTATTCAACGTGAAGCCCTTTGAGGCCTGGGGCAGCAAGCGTTGGGGTTGCTAGCTGGTTTGAAGGCTGCAGGGTAGCGACCTTGACCCCGTCTATGTTGTTGAGTTTGGGTTCTCGCGGGTTCCAGCAGTTTCCCGCGACCTCGGTGACCTGACAGTCTGTTGGGGTTGACCTGACAGCTGTGAGAGAGTTCTCGCACTTGGGCCCAGATTTTAAAGGGGTTCAAAGTTCAAAAGAGGTTCACATTTATCCAGCGGATCTTTACCATTCATCAGCAGGTATGTGCCCATTGGCGACGGGTACACGGGGTGCACTGCAGTCATGGGGACAGTAGTTACTTGAATGGCAGCGATGAGTTGAACCTCACTTTTGCTGTATGATTTGCACCATCAGCCTGCCTGGTTGGCATTTAAGTGTTCGTTTTAGTCTCTGAGCTCTTGCTTTGAGTTACTCAAACAGGAAAGATGACATTATTGTGAGGTCTGCTCCCATGCTGACGCGTGTTTTTCATCTTTCTTTCCTCTCCACGGTTACAGCCAAGTAGCGCGTTGTTGCCACGCCATTTTGGTCAGGTTCCCCAAGAGTTGAAGTGCAGGGGCCTGAGCAGTTGTTTGTACGCAGGTGTGGCTGGTTGGTGGGCTGTGGCTCAGGAGGTAAACAGACAACCAGACCAGTGTTTTCTGGTACCTGAGGTTGCAAGCATGGTGGCACTGGCTGCTTTTTGGGGGAAGCGTGATGCTGCAGTTAGATACACAGTCTTTAGTTTGTGTTGGACTCGCAGTACTCTGCGGGGATGGAGCAGAAAGCAGGTGTTCAGGGGGGTAAATGGTTTTGGACCCCCTCTAGTCATAAGGAGTCTGGTTTTCACCTTTGGCTTTCTCTGGCGTGTAACTAGCTGGATGCTGGTTGTTTGAGCTCCTAGCTACTGCTGGTTGGTCATTCCTTGGTTGCTGTTAGGCTCCTTTTGGGCTGCTTGTGGAGAGTGGCTTGTCCCAGTGTGTCTCTGAGCATCCTGTCTGGTGTGGGGACATGCGCCTTCCTGGCGGTGCTGTCCTCTGCTGGCGGAGAAAGGCTTTAACTCACTGTTTGGAAGTCTTGCGGCTGGAAAACAGTAGCGTGCCTTTTAAAGTCAGTTCCGGATGAGATTCTAAAACAGGGTAGCTCGTAGGTGTTTGAAAGTCTTTCAAAGCAGTCTTGGTTTTACACAGTTTTTATGAGCTAAACTCTGCCGCTGTTGGGTGGTCAGGGCGTGGGGGCAGGGCATTGCCCGAGTGCGGACTCACCACAGAAAGCAGGCTTTTGGGAGAGAGAGGGTCTGGAAGGTGAAATCCTCCTCCGTCCGTGGCTCATTTCCTGTCTCGAAGTAGGCTTGGTGTAGTTGACTGCAGTATGCTTGTGAGGTCTCTTGGCTG